TATATATATATATATATATATATATATATATATATTATATAATATATTTAATATATTAAGCAGGGTAGATAGAGAACTTCTGTTACTGTAGTTTATAAGAATATATTCTGCTAACTTAAGCTTTTATAAAATCTACGTAAGAACTATGATATAACCTACAATATAACCTAAAAATATTTCCCGTATGTATTAGCGATCACCACGTCGACTAGTAGCGCATTTTGTTGAGTTATTGTAGTACTATATTACAATGTTTTTATATCGGCGCACGGGGTAATTTGAATACAGTTTTATGGAGCAATTTGGATAACGCATTCAGTTCCCTAATATGCATATTTTAACTGTTTTAAGACATATTTCATTATTTCAAATGGTGAGACATTATGAAAAAAGGATACTTGGAACAAAGAAAGTATGAGGCAAGCCATTACATCTGTTATTGATGGTGTGATGTCCATTTTAGGAGCTGCACAGTTATTTCACTACAAAAGTTTATACAAAAAAGTTCAATCTAATAAAGACAAATTTGTGATGAAAATGAAGTCCTTCGCACTCGCTTCTATTGGGCGCCCTGCCGTGTTTATTAGCGTTTTAGAAAAAATTTGATTGTGTATGTGTATTTTGTAAAGTCAGCTACTATTTAAATGTCTAATTTCTCATATATTGAGTAAATACTCCTTAGACATGTGAGTTTCCTGCTATATATTCAATGTAAGGATAAAATTATTATTTTTCAAGAAATTATTCAAAAAGTTTGAAATTATCCAAATTATCCCGTTTTACCCTATAAAATGCGGCTGGTTGCAGATAGCACGCAGAAGCTCGCGGAGAAACCTGAGTTGCGATCGACGAAGAACGACTTCTTTAACGAACTCTTTTAACCATTTTGATACTACGCGCCACTACAGTAGATTTTCGCTGACCAATCTTTTAAAACGAGACGCTACAGCGGTTTCCTGTTAAGTTAAGAAACATGGTAATTAAATTAATGATTTAATTGGTGAATCAATATGAACAATCTTTATTATGAATAAATATTTTAATATATTTTGCGTGCAACTTTATGGATATCCGTATCTCTTTGATATGGCAAACAAACAGAAAAATATGAAGATCCGTCAAGGAATATTACTTTTTTTTCATTCCAACTGGGTAACATAACGAATAAAATGAAGAAGCGGAAAGAACATGCGAAAAGTTTTTGATAAACATTCGAAGATAATAAATCATCGATGCGGATTGAGGAATATATCGGACTTTATTTTTAATTATTCTTGAAATAAAAATACGTTTTTTGTCCATTTTGATCGATTTTCTTGTCTCAAGCCTTAGTATTTATGACTAGAGATTATCGTCAGACAAGACAAATTTGTCTTGTTTTCATCCTTTCTCTTTCTTTTTTTGCTGACCGATCCGTTCCTGTTGGTATTTCCCAAACTAGTGCACAAAGAAACAATTGTTGAAGCAACGCATAGGAATAAATTTCGTGTTTCTATGTGCGGTCGTGTCCTCGATCTTCCGCGTCTTTTATAACCGCTCAAATTATGTATTAGCAATCGTGTGTCATGTAAAGCGGTGGGGAGACGCGCTTGTTTATTATGCCTTGCGGCAAATTCGGTACTTATGAAGTATCCGCCGGTCGAAACGATTGCAATGACAGACTATTATACGATTCTGAATAAATATATCAAAGTTGGATGAATGTGTACCGCATTTATAAAAAAAGTGACGAAGAAGTGATACTTTATACCTTACACTGATTGAAATTATACATAATGTATAATTGAATATTGTATAATTCAATATTGTATTTATAAAAACACGCACATTGTAGTCACGAGATACAGAGACTAATAGATTGATCCTTATAATTTTTAAATTGACCCTTATTATTTTTTTGCAACTTCGCACAATAAAACTTGTCTCGGTTTACTAGTGTAACTACGGATGTTATGCGTCGATGTACAAGGTGTAACGGCCTTCACGGCCTATTATTTAAACACTCCCGACCATTTAAGGAAAAGATTGCAAGCTGAATTTTTAGCTGCTTCGTGCAGATTACAATTTGCGGTAACAAGAGATAACAAAATTTTTTTTCATCTTGAAGTCCTCTATAATATTATATAAAAGAAAGTGCACATCGTAGTATTTAAAAAATTAAAGATGATTTCTTTATGAATAAAAATTGTTTACTTTTTGTAATTTCAAGTGGTAGCCTCTACGAAGCAGATGAAAATTCACTTTGCAATGTTTTCCTTAAGCCTTCGGGTGTATCTAAGAAATCGCGCGGATCACGTTACGCTGAACACTCTGTACAGCACAAAGCGATTTCTTTTTTTCGACAAAACATTTATAATGAATTCAAAGTGTAGGAACTGCTGCGCTTGGCAATTGCTTGATTGACTGTTTCAACAGATATCATTTAACGCAACGCTGCATTCATACCTCTAGCCTGATTATACGGTTGCGGAGAATCTCTGCACTGTAGTTTGTTCCATTCCGCAATTTAACAATTAAAATAAAATTTTTGCACATTTATAGAACCGTGACGCCTCAGATAATAATCGCTTTGCTTAGCACGCGTATCAAGTGACAACACATTTATTTGCATGTGTTATTCCCGCGGGGCCGCTTCTTGTCACTCGCATGATCTTGATACAGTCGGGGTCAACTTCTGGAATGGCAGATCCCCGAAAGCTGCGTCATCTCTCTTCTGCGATCTAATCAACTATTCCTTTAAGACTCAGAGAACCTGTAAACATGCAATTCTCGTCGCGCATATTGGCGCAACGCGTCGAACGCTTAAGATCACAACGCGAGTTTGCGAGTTTCACGTTCATCAACGTTCCTGTAAAATATCCAGACTAAAATGTGTGCTCAGTGAGGAAGGCTCGAATTCCAAGAAGCGCGAACGATCTGCCGACGAACGTTGACGGCCGAAAAAGCAATCTCTCCTCCGAAATTTTTCAGCAGGGGGGATGACACTGAATTTATTTTGCCTGTGTGAAAGTGAGTGCGACGAAGCGGCCGACAATGAGATGAGCGCGTCGTTTCGGCGATTTTCTCGCGAATTCTTAGAGAGCCTTTAACCTATTAGAGCTCATGACTAATTCAGCTAGGGTATCATCCAAATGACATATGGAATCTTCCAGTATGATAAAAATAACAATTTCGGCGGAAGAAAGTTGCAGAAATAATTTGTTTATGACAAAATTATTTAAACAACTTATTTAAAAAATTATGTTTTTGAAAATCTGATGCTGCCAATCGATTCCGCTTTGAAAATTAGGTCGAAAACATGTATATGTTCAAAGTTGGATCCTTATATGTTATAAAAAAGTAATAAATAATTTCAAATAATACTGTACCTCTTGCTGTACCATTAAACAATTTTGTTATAAATAAATTCTTTTTGCAACTTTTTTCCGCCGAAATTGTTATTTTGTTCATAGTAGAGGATTCCATTGTCATTTGGATGATATTCCAGCTAAGTTAGCATGAGCTCTAATGGGTTAATATTGGCCGCGTCGCGACGAAAAGATTTTTCGCATAAATGCACACATTGCATTTACGTAACGTGTGCCAATAACAAAAGTCGGCTACGTAGATTGCGCCGCGCGACCTGCCTGCTCTTCGTCGCGCATATTCAGTCGCGATTGGCCCGACTGTGAGCGGCCGGTTTCTTTTTCTTTACCCCCCTCCTTTTTCCTTTTTAATCTCGATTCGGTTTCACGTTTCAGGCAAAAGCCAAGGATGAAGGACCGGCAGCGGGACGACGAGTGAAAGTGAAGCCGGGGCAACGCGTCTTACCTGGACCAGGTGTGAAAGTGCAGTGCGTAATACGAACCCGAGGGACGTAGTCGAAACCGCGTTATCGGCATCACAACGACGACGGTGGCGGTGGCGACGGTGGTGGCGGCGACAACGAGAATGGTGATGAGGCAATGACGTGACGATAACGAGGACGATGATGACGAGCGCTCGTTATGAAGACAATGCCCAGAGCGGTGATGCCAGATGATAACAATGATCCCTTATAGACGCGCGTGTATCTTGGATCAACGCATTCTTGACCGGCAATCGGAGCGTGGAGCATTTAATTAATTAGGCTCTACCCGCCTATTATCTAATCCGCTTTTATCCAAGTGAGCTTGTTGACGCTTTCGTTGGTTAATCGTGCATCGACCATTCGAGGACTATCGACACAACCGGCCTGCCGCGTAGGATTATTATAAGAACTTCTTCGCGCGAGATACGTGCATTAGTCGTCGGCAGGAAACGCATCGAGTTTGGTTTCGTTGTAATGCAACTGAGGAAGGAGAAACAGAATCGAGAGCGCCACTAAAGTCGAGGAAAAAGGTAGCCCATTCGGAGTAAGAACAAGAAAAAAGGATCTGTCCTGATCGCGCTGTCAGTTGGGGGTGATCGTCGATCCAGCACGAGTTCGAGATAGCATCGTTCCTCTTCACCACGTCAACCGCAACCAAAATCGAAGATGAGATTCATTACGTCCTTATTAGGGTCCGGATCCCCGAAGGTGATGGGCAGGCAATACATGAAGGTCGGCAGAAACGCCCTTTTCGGCGTGAAGACTGATCCCGCCGAGGATATATGCACCGAGAAGGTGCCGAAGCCTCTTTCCCTGCTGATCTTCAAAAAAGGAAAGCTCAGACACGGTGAGTAATGACAACTGATCCAACGTTTAATAACAAGCCGTTTCGATAGCCTCGATACTGAATGAGATTTGCATAAATATGAGAAAACAGGGAGTCGCTTAGGAGAAAAAAAGAAATCTTGCATTGAATTCTTTTTTCTTCCTAGCTGGACGCGATCATGTAAATTTTAGACGTTCATTATGTCGATTAATTACGTCGATTAAACGTCAAGTATACAACTCCCTCTCGCGTAACGCTATCAGACGCCCGCGGTAATCCATTTAATCCGTTATAAACCGCGACCACTGCCGCAGTTTTCTGCCGCGACTAATGATAATTTATTGTTAAGCACTCGTACGGATTCATGCCAGGTAATCAGACCGGAACAAGTTTATAGCACGAGAATCGTTATTGTCCGCTCGACACTTTCCTTAATTGGCCGTTATCTGACGAGTCTGATTGATTTACTACCGATGATCGAGCTGGAATATCGCCAAGATATTCCGTTAACGTCCCGTGGGAGTGCGTGAAATCATCATTGATTGTCGATGGATTGCGACGAACAGTTGCGCGTCGGACGCGCGACTCCACCACGGAGAGAATCTCATTGAGACTCTCGGTCAGATCGCGCGCTCAATATATCCGGAATCGTTCGAATGAAACCCTTGTTTGCTCATTCTCTTCGAGTGATATATGCGCAACCATTTATCGACCGTTCAGAATGCATTTTACACCGCCGGTTACATGCTGCTGACCAGTATTTGGTTTCGCCAACAACAGATGACTTATTTATGAAATGAACTTCTATCTCATATATTACGGTTGTAAAAGACGAATAATTAGTGTTATATCACTCGAGTAAGTAACTCGTTGTCGGCGAAATTGATCATACTCTCGCTGTTATTTGTCGTAGCTCGAACGCCACTAAACGCAAAATATAAACACGTGCAAGTTACGCATTTTGGAATTAAGGCAAAGGTAATATCAGTGTCTAATACCTGAGACACTAATAACATCGGGACTTAATTCTGGGTATTTCTATTGTCCCTGAGTGTTCAAATTTTAAATGAACACACACACACACACACATATATATATATATATATATATATATATATATATATATATATATATATATATATACAGGGTGTCTCACACTCTCCTCCGGGCATTTTGTGGCGACGTAGAACAAGTTGAGGTGAACATAAAAGTCCTATACCGTTTTGCGATATTCGCAATAATTATAGAGATATTAATTGTAGAAAACTTGTAAATAATCATGCAGAATATGGTAAATAAGTTATAATAGTGACGACTGCTGTCATGTACTTATATTTTAGGTCAAATTGAATCAAAAAGTCCTCTACCATTTTGCAAATAATCACATAGATTTTTAATTATTAATTAAAGAAGATTATTGCACGATTTTACGTGATAATGCACTCATCTTCTTTAAATTTTGATTAATAATTAAAAATTTATGTGATTATTTGCAAAATGATAGAGGAGTTTTTTGTTTAATTTGACCTAAAGTTTAAGTACACAATGGCAGTCGTCGCTATTATAACTCATTTACCATATCCTGCATGATCATTCACAAATTTTCTACAATTAATATCTCGATAATTATTGCGAATATCGCAAAACGGTATAGGACTTTTATGTTTACCTCAACCTCTGTTCTACGTCGCCACAAAATGCCCGGAGGAGAGTGTGAGACCCTGTATATATATATTTACATATATATATATATATATTGTGTATCCATGCAGAACCTACATTAAAAATTTAAATATTCATATTTCAAGGCTAAAACAATAAAAATGTCCAGGGTTAGATATCAATATTAATGTCCAAGTATTTTTGCTTTAACACACTTTTTCTGCCCGCGGATTTTTTTGAGGTCAAACAAGGATTATTTTTTGCGACCTTCTATTCTTTCATGTTGCGTATCAAAGACACGACGATAAAAGCGTCAAATTGATTCTTGCTCGAAATTCAGTCAAGCGAAATAATTGTCTTGACACGATTCGCGCCGACGCGCGAAATCTTATCTAGTCGTTCATTCTTTTAAGGGATTTCTTTTCTTCTGAGGTTTCTTTTCATTCCTTTGTCGTGTGTGAAGTCGCTCGAAATTCCTAACTCAAAACACCTTGGTGACAGTTGTGCACCGTGACAGTCGCTTACGATTAAATATATCAAAGTGATTGCTAATACGTTGAATATATATAATTCTCGCCACGTTCAAAGAGCGTGCATAAATAGCGCAGCGTGCAAGGTCGACTAGTCGATTCTTAGCGCTAGTCGAAATATCCTTGTTATCTCGACAAACAACATAAGTAACTCGATCTCCGTGGCTCTCGTCACTAATCGTTCAGCAGTTATCTCGTGTCAATTCGTATTATATTATACACTTTATACCAGATAATCTTTTTTTTTTTTGCATTCGGACGATTATGACGTTATTTTACATATGTTAATTAATTTGTTGATGAGGTTTGAAATTGCCGTGAATCATAACGACTTCTGTAACGAGGAATATATTCAATATTAATGCTTTTTTTTAATAAAACTTTGAATTTATCACAGAGAGAGAAAGAGAGAGAGAATCCTGCTCGCACGAACGACATTAGAGAACGATTGGTTCGCCGATCGTAAAATCGCGGAGACTCGCTTCGAGAACAGTGGTATCTTTTCGAGATAAAGCCTCTCGGATTTTCGCTGAGCAAATATCTTCAAATTTGCGCTAAAAGGTTTCTAGTTAAGAGAAAACGCGCGAAGTACGAGGCACCCCGTGTATGGCCACTTAGACCCACTTCAACTCCGCGACCAGATTGCAAGCTGAATATAGTCGCTGGGCATTTCGAAACGATACGGCGAACGTACACGATATCTCAGATTATTTTGTTATTTTTCCCAGATATTTTATTTATAAAAAGTAAAATATTACATAGTTTTAGTCACGCTTTCAATTTTTATTTATTTTTAATTTCATTTATTATCGTTTATTTCATTTATTTATTTCTAATCGTTTCTTTTTTCCTGAACATTTAATTAGCCTATTTAATTAACTATTTTCATAATTTTCTAACTTTCAATTTGATCTAAAAAATATTTAGTTAAATAATTAATGTAAGGTAGAATTATACATATGACGTTTCCGTTATCAGCGTTTCTGTTCTGCTTATTACTACTTGCACTATTCACATGGCAAAGAAGATGAAAGAGAGATAATTAGTCTCTATAGTGAAAATACTTTCCATATTTTCACAGGAAATTCTCACGGCGTAAGAAAGATTGAAGTAGTCATTACGCAGACCTAAAAGCGTAATAACATAGGAAGATCGCTCTATTAGAAGTATGATTTGATGCAATTACTGTTCGAAGCGATGCCTATGCTGTTGCCGATTGAATGCCCGTGTTCCAGCGAGTACAATGATTGCAATAGTTGCAAATTAACAAATTGCCGCAATTAGACCAGCCGGCTACTGGACATTATAATTGGCGAAGTTCATTGCTCCGAATCTTTTTTACGCTCACATTTCTCGCCTAGGAAGTGTACAGCTTTTAGACTTTAAGGCACGCTGCTATATATGTCGGAATAACGTTAGCGTGTCTATTCTAAGGCGAAAAATCAACATCGACATTTGACGCGTTAACCGACATCGCGTAACGGTAATCGCATCGTATGTCTTATATAGTAACATCAGCGCAGAATTGTTTCAAGAGACAGCCGAGATAATTGGCGACTGTATTCGCGTTTAATTGCGCATCAGGTGCAATTTGTGGCGATCGAGATGCGCTAATGATGAAACGTCTCGCCAATAAAATCGCGAGATGGATTTCTGTGCGTATCAAATCCACGCGCTTTCACCGTTGCTAAAATTCGCCGAAGCAGTAATCGATGATTAATGACTCGGTTGTGATAAATGTCTTCTCGAATTTGTCGGTAGTCAGACATCACAATAGCCGTCGACGGGAAAGCCGATGGTCGATGCACCCTGTATACATTTGCACAATGCTAAACACCGCATATACGACATGTAACGGAGGCCGGAGTGCAGTAGGTCAGTGGAACGTGAATGATAGAGAACGGGTTGCCTGCGACACGGGGGCTATGCGTTACGCATTGCATCAATTCATGGTTTCTCATTGTCGCTAGCTCTATCGCGGATCAGGCTGATATCAAAATCTTTCCGGGCGATCGCGGAAGCCGAATTTTCCAGATTAGTTTTCGCGATCCTCGCGGGAATCCCTTTGTGCGAGCCAACGGTAGGATCCGACGGCGGAGAAAGAATAATCGAGCGCATTGAAAGAAAGAAATGCTTGATTCAACTAAAATTATAATTGTTTTAGACCTTGATCATATTTTTCGATTATTCTAATGCGAAAATGCGATTTTCTTTTTTACGCCGTGAGGATTTCCTGTGAAAATATGGAAAGTATTTTTACTATAGAGACTGATTATCTCTCTTCCTTTCTCTCTCTTTCATCTTCTTTGCCACGTGAGTAGTGCAAGTGGTAATAAGAAGAATAGAAACGCTGATAACAGAAACGTCATATGTACAATTCTATCTTACATTTATTTATTACTAATTCTACCTTACATTTAATTATTTAACCAAACATTTTTTACGCATGCGAACATGCGATTACTAACATTTTAATAAAATTTAATAAAAAAGAAATGATTCTCTCTCTCTCTCTTGACCATAATTTATAGTAGTTACTTCTCTATGTGATTACAAATACCAAGCATTTTTTTTTTCAATACGGCGAATTGCTAGGAGCGGAGACCAAAGACCGATTATGGACGTCTATTTGAATGCTAAGTACAGTCTTTTTATTCCAAGTTCCGTCTTTTTTTACACGAACATCCGGTTCAGGTTGAGAATGGGAAAGGCGTACTTAACGCTCGAATATGCGTCAGAAAAGTACGGTCCCGTGTCCGGCATCAGACCGCGCGTTTATAGCGCTGGGCACACGTTATTATCCGGCGTTGAAGTCTCCAGTCGTTCTTT